AGACACAGAAAATCTGCGTGACAAGTGGACAGACTCTGTTGGGGATGGTGACAAGTCTCTGGATAAAGGGTTGTCTCATCTATAGAGTCACGGGAAGGATGAGCGAGAGGGGGATCATTATCGGTCGTGGAGATCCAACTATTCTCAGATTCGAGGAAGAGGAGACCCTCTTCATCACCAAACACTTACTCCGAGCAAGCAGGCTTCTACATTTTCCTACAGCTGGGGACGTGGAGAAAATACCCACCCAACATTTTCTTCTAGTCGTGGAAGAGTGATTTCTGGTGGAAACTCAATTACTACCATTTCTTGTCATAATCAATCTATGGGAATCATATCAGACATGTTTGAATGTGGCCAGGGAGATGCCTTCCTTTTAAGATATAGTAGGGCAAAATTGCTTGACTTGTACCAGAAAACTGACATGAGAGCATATCAAAACTTTTGGATGGGCTTGTATCAGTGCCTTCTCTTACACAAAATGAGCCCCAGGAACCCCTAGCTCTTTTTACTCCTAATTCTGAGGAAATGGTAATTAGCATTTATGTGTCATCTCGGTCATTTCATTTATACTTTCTGCAGTGGATTTTATTGCTTTACTTGCTGTATAGATTGTCTTGAAGGGAATTGAGAAGGGAGACATAACAAGTAGTGGTGCAGCTCAGCTTTCAAGAGACGGATCTGTGGGACAGAACTCAACAGATTATACTCAATCAAGGCGGGCCAAGATTGGTATTCCACCTGTCAAAGATATTATTACTGTATACTTGTGCATTTTTTAAGATAGAGAGTAACTTATATGGGATTTACTTGTTTTGAGCAGGCAGCAAAGAAGATTTACCATTAGCTCTTGATGACTGCAGAGATGAAAATGATACTTCAAAAGGTGGTTATGCAAATTATTCAGAGGGTTCATCTCTTGAAAAGTTTAAAGGATACACTGATAGTAGATTTAAAACTGAAGGTTTGCCGACTTGTACTGCTTTGCTCAGTAAACTAGTTATTTGGTACAATTTTGTTAAACAGTGGGCATTCATTATGCATACCATTTCTTGTGAAATTTGCAGTTAGGAATGATGGTGGTCCTTATAGGAAGGTTGATGAGGTCCCCACCCGTAGGGAATCAAGCGTGCAGGTAATGAACTATTCTGGTCCTGGCACTATGTGGCGAGCATCATCATTGGGTGAACAGCTACATGCAGTCTCTCATGATTGGAAGGAGATTCCAGGTGATGTCCAGTCAAGAAGATCTGATATGAGCTGGTTGCAGCCACAGAAAGATCCAGTTAACCAGCAAGAAAGTAACATCACAACTTCATTTTATTCCAAAGATGAAGCAAGTTGGCAAACTATTGGAGATCCCATTATAAAAAGGCAGCTATCTGGGGTTGTGGAAAGGGAACTGGAAGCTAGTAAGCTGTCACAGACTGCTCCGGAGGACCTAGTGCTTTTCTACAAAGATACTCGAGGTGAAATTCAAGGCCCTTTTTCTGGTATTGATGTAATAGGATGGTTTGAGGCTGGATATTTTGGGATAGATTTGGAAGTTCAGCTTGCTAATGCACCCAAGGACTCACCATTTGTTTCACTTGATGATGTTATGCCCCACTTGCGAGCTAAAGCTTGACCACCTCCTGGATTTGGCAATTTAAAACAGAGTGAACACACGGATGCATCAAGCAGGTCAAATTTTAGTAGCTTTGGGAAGGTGCATGCTGGTGCAAGTGAAATTGATATGATAAAAAATGAACAAAGGTTTAACCATGGTTCAACAACAGAAGCAGAAAATAGGTTCTTTGAGTCTCTGACGTCTGGCGCGATGGGCAACCCACCTCAAGGTTTCTTTTGTATTCTTTTTTAACTTAATTTTTAATACAATTAGTCAGTTCGCTTAACTATTAACTGTCCTGTGATCCAGGGCTTTCTAGGATTTGACTATTTGTAAACAGCCAGCAGCTAACAATTCTTAAATGGAATTGCCTTCAGGTCTGCAAGGATACATTGCAAATAATTCTAGTAGCATGCCTCTGACTGGGGTAGAAAGTGGAAATGATCTCTACCTCTTGGCTAAGAAAATGACATTTGAACAGTAGAGGTCTTTGCCTAATCAGTATCCTTACTGGCCAGGGAGAGATGCTGCATCTAGTGTTTCTAAGTCAGATATTGTCTCTGACTCATCAGGAGCACATGCAAAACTGCTATCATTAATGACTGACAACTCACTTCAGCCTCCTCACTCTCAAAGTGCTGATTTGATGTCAATCCTCCAGGGCTTATCTGACAGATCCACTGCTGGGGTAAATAACAATGTTGGTGGTTGGTCAAATTTTCCCGACCAAGGTGGATTGGATCCACTTCAGGATAAGATTGATTTGCAGCATTCTCAAAGTTTTCCTCCACAAGCTCCTTTTGGGATCCAACAACAGAGGCTGCAAGCACAAAATGCATCCTCTTTGGTAAATCTGCTTGGTCAAACTAAAACTCTAGATAATCCATCTGGTATTCTAACACCAGAAACATTGATCTCCTCTGGTTTGTCGCAAGATTCCCAACTGCTGAATTTGTTGCAGCAGCAGTATTTGATGCAGTTACAATCTCAGGCTCAAGTTCCAACCCAGCAGCTGTCTGTGTTGGATAAGTTCTTGTTGCTTAAGCAGCAACAAAACAGGGGGAGCAGCAGCAGCTATTGTGGCAACAACAGTTGCTTTCTCAGGTCTTAGCTGAGCAGCATTCTCACCAGCGTTTTGCTGAGCCCTCTTATGGACAGTTACACTCTGCTGCGGTGCCTATAGGGAATGCATCTTTTGATCCTACTAGACTTCAGTTATCACAGGATGTGCTTAAAATTGATTCTCAAATATCACTTCCAAGCACTAAAGAGGAGCATGATGCTGACATCAAAATGCCTCCACAAGATGCTGAGGATGTCATCCACCCTGTTAATTCTGATAGGTCTATACATTCACCACACCTGTTTATTGGGAATACAAGTCATCAGAAGAGTTGGGGAGCTACTACCTTGGAGCAAATTAATGATATTCAACAGAAGGAATCTTTACCTTCATCAACAATTGTTGAAAGCTCACCCTTGTCAGGAACAACATTCTTATCTCCACAGGAGCCTTCTCTTCTGCAAAATCCGGCGCTACTTTCTGATTGTCACACCTTCATGCCAGACCAGCAATTGGATAATATGCAGAATGATGAAACTGATCCAATTGGAACAGCAGTACTTACTTCAGATCATTTGGCTCTGGAGCATCCTGTAGTTCCTGCTGCTGCACCATCTTTGGAAACTGGCAAGAATGAAACTAATGTGCCTGAGAATGTCAACAAAGAGACTGTTCAACCTGGTATTTCTGTTGAAGAACTGGAAATGGAAAATGAAAGGAGCAATGACCAGCCCTCAGTTGCAACACAAGCTAGGAGTGTTGAAGTTCGTGAGGTAAAAAAAGCTTCTGAAAAGAAATTCAGAAAACAAAAATCTACCAAATCACAAAGTGCTGACCAGGCGAAGGCGGTTTCAAAAGCTTCCTCTTTGTTGGATTCAAAGCAATCAGAACCTCAAGGAACTGTTGGTGACACTGATGCTGCAGGGGAAAGTTATGGGACATTGCCTCAAAAGACAGTAGATAGCAAATCTGATATTTCAGTCATTGGAGCAGGGGATTCTAGGGTCAATGTTGAGACAACAGAGGTCGAAGATGACTCAAGACTTTCTGGTTCTGTCTCAATCCAGAGCACACCAGCACAACCCATACAAAGTGCTTGGAAACCTGCTCCAGGTTTCAAGCCAAAATCATTACTGGAAATTCAACAGGAGGAACAAAGGAGGGCACAAACTGAAGTGGCAATGATGGAGGATGCAACATCTATCAACACCATGAGTTTGTCAACTCCATGGGCTGGGGTTGTGGCTTCTTCTGAACCCAAAGTTTCTCGAGAAAGTCAAAGAGATTTGATGATTTCTGAATTCAATACGGGAAAACCTGAAATCCTTGCAAATCTAAGAAGTAAAAGGAGCCAGTTACATGATCTGTTGGCAGAAGAAGTTTTGGCAAAGTCTGGCGAGAGGGATATTGAACCTCCTAATGTTATGTCTAGTTTGTCCTCTCCACAGGTCAGTGCTACAAATGCAGAAACTATTGAGGATGATAACTTTATTGAGGCTAAAGAAACAAAGAAGAGTCGGAAAAAGTCTGCAAAAGCAAAGAGTGGTGGGTCAAAAGTCTTGGTACCTGTTACTTCTGTTGAAGTGCTGGTTGGCGCTAGTCCTGTTGAGAAAGGCAAAGGTTCCCGCCTTTTACAGCAGGAGAAGGAATTATTGCCTTCAGTTCCATCACGTCCTTCTTTAGGGGATTTTGTTCTTTGGAAAGGGGGGGATTCAGCAAATCCTCCTTCTGCACCTGCATGGTCTACTTACTCTAAGAAGCTTTCAAAACCTGCATCCTTGAGAGACATCCAAAAGGAGCAGGAGAAAAAGAATTCTTCTATTCAGCAACAAAATCAAGTTTCAACTCCTCAAAAATCCCAGCCAAGTCAGGCCACCCATGGTGCATCATGGTCCATCTCTGCATCTTCACCATCAAAGGTTGCTCCTCCTCTCCAGATAAATTCCCATGCTTCCTCTCAATCAAAGTATAAAGGAGACAATGACCTATTCTGGGGCCCAACTGACCAGACAAAGCAAGAAACAAAGTAAGTAATGTTCTCATATATTTTAATTCTTTCCAACACCTGCCCCTCCTTTTTCCTGCACGCACAAAATGAATAGAAGTCCTTGTGTGATTAGTCCTGTCTAATTCTGGCTGCATTCTGTTTGTAAATTATCCAATGTCTATTTTTTGAAGTAATGTCTATTTTTGTAACTTTATTTTTTCCTGTTTTGCCTTTTTTATCTATCATAAGCTTGAATACATCAGTGCCCAAGTTTCTAATTATAGAAGTCTTAAGACATAACTTGCAATGTGCTTAGGGCTTTTTGAAGTGTAATTTACCTTCTTTTGTGGCACTTAAGGCCATCTTTTCCTTTACTTTTTCATTCTTATTTTCTTTAGTTTCTTTTTTATGGTATGTTAATTAACATCATTGGAAATTCGGGTCTATGAGATTCGATTGCACTTACTAGACAAATGAGTAAATGGTTGTCTTCTTTCATTATAAACAGAGCCGATTTCCCACTTCTTGCGAATGCAAGCAGGTGGGGAGCCAAAAATACTCCTGTAAAAGGGACTGCAAGTGCATCCCTAAGTCGTCAGAAGTCAACCAGTGGCAGATCAGTTGAACATTCTCTTTCATCCTCACCTGCTCCTCAGTCTTCTATTAAAGGGAAAAGGGACTCCTCGACCAAATATTCGGGTGAGTTCAAATGCTGTGTATTCTGTCAAGTCTGTTAGATTTCACAATCTGTTTATTCTTCAATTTGATTATTTGTCACTGTGACATTCAATAATGTTTCTGTTTTTAAAACTTTGATTGCACATGCTGGTGTCGTTGCAAGTTTGGAGTTATTTGATTTACCATCATAGAGGAATTATCTTACCTCTTGCTTTCAACCACTTTGCAGAGGCCAAGGATTTTAGAGATTGGTGCAAAAATGAGTGTGGTAGACTTATCAGGACAAGAGGTGTTCTCTTGTTCTATCCTACGTTTCTAAATCAAATATCATGTTCCACACGTGTTGGTCTTCTAAGTTATCTTATATCATATTTTTCCTATCTTTCTCCTTGCTAGGTACAAGTTTCTTGGAATTTTGTCTGAAGCAATCCAGATCGGAGGCTGAGACACTCCTGGTGGAGAACCTCGGATCATATGACCCTAATCACGAGTTCATTGAAAAGTTTCTCAACTACAAGGAACTCTTGTCAGCTGATGTACTTGAGCTGGCCTTACAAAGTCGGAATGATCAAAACGCCAGGTTAGGTGCTGGAGATGTGGTTTCTGACAACACAGGTGCTGGTGATTATGAGCGAGATATTTTGGATGGGTCCTCAAAGGGAGGTGGTAAGAAAAAGGGAAAGAAGGGGAAGAAAGTGAGTCTATCATCCTTGGGATTTAATGTCGTGAGCAACCGCATCATGATGGGGGAGAGTCAAACGGTGGACGATTGAACTGTAAATGCATTTTCCCTTAAATGTTTTGTAAATGCTTAAGTTAGGATTTTTTGTTCTCTGATTTATAGAGCCACAGCTGCAGGAGCACTAATTGAACCCTGCTCGAGCAATTTTGTGATGTAACAAGTTCATGTTTTAGAGATTTTTTTTTTTTTTTGGGGGGGTGGGGGGGGGGTTAATATTTTCACAGAAAACATGAACCAGTTTCATGAGATCAAGTTAGGCACAGAATTTAATCAAAGCTAAATCTTTTCTGCATCTTGTGTGGTCAAGTTCCAATCTTTGCTCAACTGGGACAAACTTCAATTTCCCATTACATTCATAAACGCTACAAATGCACGCTTATCAATCGTGTAAGCACTTTGGTTTCAGGCTCTCAGCATTCTAAATATTGTAATACATCAGCATCGACATTGTAGGAGAAAATTTGTAGATGGATATATCTCATCTTATTTATGCTCACTGTTTTTCAAGAGTGACTTTTGTACGTTCGATCTCAATTTTTTTTCCTGCTATGCTTACAAGGAAAATGCAGATATCTTCTTGTTTTTCTGCTCTTGCTTCTCTTGCGTGGTACTCTGCACAGCAATAAGAACGCTAATCAGATAACTTAATTTTCCTGGAAAATTCAAGAACTCAATGTTTGAATCATGAGAAAAGGACGATATAGACACACATGATTTCAAAAGAGGATTAGATAAGTGTCACTAACTAACCACGGAATGAACAGAGAGGGGATCGAGATTGACGGAGCGCATGGATAGTTTGGCGATCTCAGAAACGGCGGCATCTCGTATTCCGGGAACATCACTGGATAAGTACTCGTATGCAGCTTCAAAAGCCTCCAGCCAGAACCTCGTCAGCGGCGCGTTAGGTCTCTGGGTGTACACATCCCACATCTTCCTCACTACCTTCTCTCTCTCCTCCAATTCCTGTACCAAATCAAAAACCCCACGAAGCAAAAACCTTAAAAAACCAATCAAAACCCAGAAATATAGTATAAGACACAGCACGGGGAAGTCGACGAATTACGAGGATGTCGAGATCGTCGTGGACAGCGAAATCGGCATCGTGGGAAGAGAATCTAGTTAGATCGGTAGAGGACCATTTGAGGGAAACAGAACCGGTGAATATGGACCAGAAGGCTAGGAGGAGGAGGGCGGCCAAAGCCCAGAATTTGTACCCACTCTGACCAATTACAGCAGCTACAGAGCCATCTTTCTTCCCTGTTGTCGACGGCCGCGGGGACGGTACTGATGTTGGTATCGCGGTGGCTGCATCTTGGCCCTTCATTTTTTTTTGTTTAGGCACCCGGAAACCTAATACAGTACTTAGTAGTACAAGTGTGTCTGTGTGTGTGTGTGGAGTGAAGAGAATTATT